CTCTCTCTCTCTCTCTCTCTCTCTCTCTCATTCTCTCTTTCTCTCTTTCTCTCTCACACACGCACACTCTTCTTTCCCTCGATCTCTCTCACAGTCATTCTCTCTCCCTCTCTCTCATTCCCCCCCCCCTCTCTCTCTGCCCGTCCAACCTGCAGCCACTATGCTCCTTCCTCCAGCCTAACGACATCAACAGAATCCCCTCATCTATTACTACACTGATTCATATCTCGCACCCTAATCACATCTTGTCACATCGAGATATCACGCGGACAGCTCCTGATGCAGTGTCGGTCCCCGCGAGTTCCAGCGCCACCTATCGATGACGCAAACGAACGGGAGCGACGGTAGGGGGCGCTGCGGTGATCGCACCTTGTTCACTCAACGCTTCGCATCTGAACAGCGATGAACGCTTGCGATAGCGCTACCACTCAGGCGCCACACGATCCCGCGAGAGATAGTACAACGCGACACTCATACAAGCGCATTAACGTGTCCGACATCTCGTAAAAAAATCTCGCGTCGAGTCACACACGCGCACGTAAATACGGAAGGATAGCGCGTGCACGGGGAGATAGTGCGTGAATGAAGGCGCGGATGCGTTAGCAATTTGTTGCGACGAGATATATTATATGGCGACGTATCGCACGGGAGTGTGATATCCCGGATCTCGTGGGTCTGCGTGAGCGATCTCATTCGCGTGTTCACGTGCATGCACGGACTCACGGTGAGTACTCGTTATGAAGCTAATATAGCCATAATGCCCTACTATAAAGTTATAGCGCTGAGGCTGAATTGCGCGGGAATCAAATCGAATGAAGAGAACCAGCATCGCGCGCACGGATACAGACACAGGCACGCACGCACGCACGCACGCACGCACGCACGCACGCACGCACGCACACGCATGCACGCACGCGCAGCACAGTGTACATAGTAACCGAATTCCAGCTGAAAACACTGATATCTGTTTATTTAAACTGCGCGCGTTGTGTTCCGGTGCTTACATTAACACGGGGCGGGTTCGTGTGACGAGCCGATGAATCTAGCACGCATTTCCCCAGCAGTAAGCACTGGGCATCGGGAAATCGCTCACAGAGTGCGATACGAGGTCACGCTGATCAGTATACGGCTGCGAAATGGAGAAAATTCCACTGGAAGTTGTCGAAGATATTCGATAAGGGATTTCGTGCGAAAACACAAAACAACAAACAAGACTTCTTCGTATTCCGACACGAGGGATTTTAGAGATGAAGCCAGCTGATGGCAGCGCGAATTCGTTGCATTTAGAAGCAGTCCATCGGCCAGGCCAGCCGTAAGTGATTCCATATCCGCGGACACATCGACCCAGCATTTCAACGGCTGTGCCACGGGGAACAAGACCATTCACGCCTCACAGACTGCACCAATAGTCATCCCCGCGTGTGCACGGGATGAATAATTAATCACTTGAAAAAACAAGATCGTGACCGAGAGAAAAAGAGAGAAAAAACACATCGTCGCTGCCACGATTCGCCCGCCTGGATCGATTCAAACATGAGGAGGAAATCACATCCCGGCTGGCTTCACGCTTCCCTGCCTCCTCTCCCCGCAGCCTCCCTGCCGCGGTCTGTCGGCGTGACTCCGATGTCATTATCGCGCCTGGCGACATGCAAATGTCATTTGTATCGAGCATACTGCGCGATAATTTTTGCCGCGTCCGCGATTTGCTCGTTCAATAGACACCGACGATGGAGATGCTCCGATACATGCAGGCGGCATATATATGACAATAATGTGATATGCAGCAGACAGCGTCGCGTATGACACTCAGCGAGAATGAAGATAATCGATCGAGAATCACACAGAGCACAGGCGCAAAAACTCACGAACGCACGCAAACTGACACATGTGTGCACGCACGCGCGCAGTCTTTCTCTCTGTTCTCTCTTTCTTCTTTCCTCTCCTCTCTCTCCTTTCTCTCTTCCTTTCTCTCTCTCGTCTCCTCTCTCTCTCTTCTACGTCTCTCCCTCCTTCTCTCTTTCTCTCTCTCTCTCCCTCTCTCATCCATCTCACGCCATCTCCTCTCTCGTCTCCTCTCCTTCTCTCTCTCGCGTGCACTCAGTCAAGTCCTCTCTCCTCTCTTCTTCCTCATCTCTTTCTCTTTTCTCCTTCTCTTTCTCTCTTCTCTCTCTCCTCGTTCTCTCCTCCTCAGTCTCCTCTCTCGAGTCGGCGTCGCGGCGAAGTCGCTCTCTGGTCTCAGTTTCTCGTCTTCTCTCTTTTCTCTCCCTCTCTCCATCTCTCATTTCTTTCTCGGCTCTCTCCTCTCCTCTCTCTCTCTTCTCTCTCTTCCCTCTTTCGTCCTATCTTTCTCTTCTTTCTTATCTCATCTCTCCCCGCCTACCC